ATTTTACTAGATTTTCAGCATCTAACTTGTTATATATCAACAAATCGAATGAAAGTATTTCGAACTGAGATTTTGCTTACAGGCAAGTCTACTTGTTAATAAAATGTCCTGAAAATTTTAGCTTAAAAAAAAATGTTTCCTTCCCAAGATATTAAAGTTCCAAACGTTCTCTCGTTAGACTTTCCTAAAAAAATATCTCAAAGCCTCCTCGAAATTTGAATAACTGGAATACATCTATGAATGTTCTAAATAGTATATAGTGCTTTACTTTTGTGCAGATAAAAATCTATGCTGAAGATGTTAAGGATGATAGATAGTGATGCATTGATTTTTGGTACTGTGTTGAGACCCGCTATAGATATAATGAATATTTAGAATCGGATTATTTGCCAGTTAAATCAATGGTCCGATTAATATTAATATTAAAGTAAGAAAAACGAAATACGAATATAACAAGTGACTAACAATAAGACAAACAAATAATTGAGCGCTGGTAAATAAGAAAAATAAAGTCTGTTAGAAATGCAGAAATAAATAAGATAGATGGTTTTCCTCATGATCAATTATCCCTGAAAAAACAACTAGAGTCTGTTAGAGATTTTTCATTTAATATATTTTATGAAATACGATCTAAAAGAAGTGCTGAAGCATCTAGAATAGAAATTTGCATCGCTCTCTCAGACCATGACAAACAGGTTAGAAACAGTTCATCACAGACGTGACAGATAGTATTCGTATACAATCAAGAATCTTAGATAAATAATGTCTCGTTATAATATATGAATTACTTCCTCATTTCTTTTCTGAAGGCTTAAGTAAAAGAATAGTGAATAAGTGTAGTCAAAAATAAATAAAGCAAAGCAATCTGTCAAATGATTAGTAACAGCAGCTACATCATTTTTCACATTTTAATCCCGCAGAGATTGTCCTAACAGATTTTGTATTAGTATAATGAGGCTAAAGAACATATGTGAGTTTCATATGTTAGTTCGAAATGAACTGTACTGACAAGGTTTCTCATTATAAGTTAAGAATATCAATAAAAGTCTTAGATGTATTTTTATGAAAAATAAAATTATTCATATTTTGATATTTATAGGTTCGTATGATGTTCGATGATATAATACGTTTTCTAATGGTATTTCTTTTTCTTCTTGCACCATATGCATTTGTTTTCTATGCTGTTTTTGGTGGTCAACAAGTAATGCATAATGATTATGAAAAATCTCCTGAAATATGTGAACATGCATTACTTCATTGTTCAATATATGAATTACAAATTCCTTATGATGGAACTAGTGATTCATATAGAAGTCGTGGTCAATATATATTTAATAGTTCATTAAGTGATATTGATGAAGCAAAATGTCTTAATGCCACATCAGCATGTCGTTTAATTCAACCAAATGGTTTTGAAACATTTTATTCATTATTATTTTCAATTTTTCGCATTGCATTAGTTGATGATAGTAAGATTTTCGTACCTAAAAATGAAATACAGAAATCGTTTTTTTTTTTCTTTTGCTTTAGTTCCAATTGATTCATTTACAGCTATTGATCGTTATTTTGCTTCGTTTGTTTGTAGTACATATTTATTATTTACTGCAATATTATCTATTAATATATTTATTGGTCTCATATCAAACGCTTTACAAACTGAAGCTTTTTCAACTGTTGAAGCACGTTTTCTTCTGGAACGTGTTGAAGTTATTTTAAATTATGAATGGCGTTTATCAAAACGTAACCGTTCACAAATTCAAGAACTTCTTCATCGTTATTGCTCACCATTACAAATACATTGGAAAGATATTAATTTTGATGCTTATGGACAATCACGTGAAGAACAACAATTAAAAGCATTGGCAAGTTTTCGACAAACAATAGATAAACAAAATATACAATTTGATACATTTCGTATACAAATACAACAAAAATTAAATAATATTGATACAACATTAAATAAAATTCAATCAACATCTAAACCAATATCATCAACAGAAATAATTGAAAAGAAATCAGAAACAAATACACCAGTTGCATCAAGACGACCATCGATTCATGTAAGTAGTGCAGAACAACCAACTATACCTCAACAGGGATTAATATCTTTAACACCTAATAATCAAACATTACTATTTGAAGAAATAACTCGATTAAGAGAACTAATCGAAGAAAAACTTACTGGACACACTGATCGAGTGCCTACCGGTTCGGTTAGTAGTAGTACGACAACTCGTCAATCAACGACACATTTATCACCTCGTCAACGGTTACATGGAGATACACATGTTTCCTTACCAGTACATACTGAATCTCATATTCAAGCTTATTCACAAGATTTAAGTGAACGTGTAACTGATCTACAATTAGCTGTTAATCGCCTTCATCAAGATGTTAGTGCTATTCGACAAGTTATTGAACGAATGTCCCCATTATCAACTAGTCTTATTCTTGGCAGAACAGCTGGACTAAAATAAGATATTTGTTTTTTTTTGTCAGTGTTTGATTTTTTTTTCTTTTTAAACAAAAATATATGCAAGTTAGACTGTGTGAAATAATATTCTCTTCTTTCGTGAAGATATCAATTTTTGACTTGTTCCAAAATTGAAAAATCTTTTGAATAAATTTGTTGTTCAATGAAAAAGATCTATTTTTTATCTATCTAACACAGACTAATCTTTGAGAGAATATTATTTTATATTACTTGAAATTTTATATGACGTATTGTCAACATCCGAGATATGTTTTATGCTCGTTAAATAGAAATGTTAACATGTTAGAAAAAAAATTTGCACTACAAAAATCTATCATAGATACCATGCTCAGTTCAACATTTCAACGATAAATCCATGTCAAGATGAAAAAATTGGTGCTAGCACAATTCGTCGCAAAACAATTAGTCTGAATCAGATCCGAGTCTGAAAATTTTGAACCCGATGGGCTCTACTGAATCAGCACACTTTTTTAATATCCGAGCCCAAATCACAACCGATCATGTAATATCCGGATCTGGATAGCTGTACCCGGTCAATATTTTTCTGAGAGTGGAAAATTATGATGTTGATCATCATCGTCTTGTTCTTCATGCTTGAGGTTCGATTATGAGTTCTTACAATAATGGTGCTGGTGATTCTGAGTATAACGATGATCTTATATAAATAGTTGGATGCATATTGTATAATATTGAATTTCCAAATTTTGGAAAGAGGAATTTTCTAAAGAAAAGCTCGAATTTGCTTCGAAGTGCTATACTCATATCATCAAATCAATCAAATCATAGTCAGTCTCATTTCGAATCTACATGAACAGTCGAACAATTTTCCTTGTATTCTATCCATTTTTAGTTTTGCTATTTCTACACGACATAGAGCGAGAAAGCACCTATTTACCTTGTAGCTGAATATCCTATGCTGAAGTTGTACACCGAAAGCTCATTGAGGTGAGAAGCGATATTAATACATATGTCATCTTTCCTAGTCAACGCAAAATTTGTTTATTTTGATCTTCATTCAATTTCACGTCAGTATCAATCTGAACTAACCATTTCTTTTTCACAAACAACATCCTGATACATCACTCTTGACTCTTATCTCTCTCTTGATCATTTGAACTTTCGAGAAAAATTACCACTACACCCAACCATGATAGGGATAAAGTCGAAGACCAAAGGAACAATGCATCTTAACTGAGTATCCTTTGCGTGAGTGATTGATTAATGTGTTAGTTACAATCGTTTTTGTGAGAAGTTAAGTTTCCCGACCTTATCGATTCGTGCTATTTCATGAGCATTAAGTTCGGAGACACAGTGAAACCTTGTACTATTTGCAGGATTGGTCGTCATAATATTACTGACTTAGAATAATCAGAAAGTGTTATTTTAGGTGAGACGTGATAGATATGCTTCTAGATTATTTCACCTTTGTTTTCGTTGTAGAAAAGTAGCTAATATCTAATATATTTTTCAATGCTATCTTTTTCGATGTAGAATACATGAGTTGGCACTTATTTTATTTATATTGTGCTATCGATATTTTTGTTATCAATTGCTCATTTTTCGACATTATAAAAGTGCACTTGATTCATTCTGAGGTGACCAGAACATGCCGAGAGATTTTAAATTGCAGTCCAACCGAACAATGGAATGAGAGAAAGTTTTTTGATTTTTAAAAAGCAACTGAGAAAGTCAGGATCGGAACAAATAGTGTTGGAGGTGAAGAAACTCAGTATTTCGCTGTATGCACAGCGCAAACGCCATTATTGAGCTCTGGATTTTTCTATTTAAAAAGTTACAGTGCAACCATACATGAGATTTCTTATTCGATGTGAAGGTTTCTTTATATGTTTCCTTTGATAATTTCTTCATCAATTTCCTCCTCAAAGGGGATTCTTTTAAGATTATCCAAGAATCCAAACATACTTTTAACACACTATGTATTTCTTCTTTTTTTAATGAGATTCTTGATACAAAAATCAAGAAACTCGGGTCAAAAAGGAATATTTTAGCCGAACTTCGAGCGGTTTATCGACGAGGTGATTAACCGTCAACGAAACTTTGTGAATATCAAATATATCTCAGAAACAAAAAAACATCCCCTCAACACACAATCTACAGTATATTGCTGACTCCTCCCGTATACAAAAAAGGGTGTGCAGTAGAAATGTCGAAAGGAAAAATGTCGAAAGAAAAAAAAATAGGGTAAAAATGTCGAAAGAAAAATGTCGAAAGGGAAAAATGTCGAAAAATGAATTCTAACACAAAAAGATGTAAAAATGAAAAATAAAAGAAGCAACGATGTCTCCCATAAATGAGAACTCTAAATTCGAACAATGCATGTTTTCTTTTCTTATAATTCTACTAGTCGAGATTTTTCACCACNTTAATGACGTCTCGTCATATATTTTCAAAAAACCAGAACTGACGACTTTTACATTTCTTGTCTATTCTAAACAAAAATTCTCGCTGTAGTCGACAAAACAAACTTGAATAGCAAATCAGTAATATGTCGTCCATTGACCAAGAAGCTGCAGAACTTGCATCACGAAGCTCAAGTGATCTGCTAACAACTGAAACGTCGATTTTCTCTTCTAATGAAACAGCATGTCTAACACAGGACAATAATCAGACAGAATCGATCGATAATACAATTTCTTTAAAATACTGGCAATCTCATACATCTAAAGAATTTGCGGTTATCTGGTTGGATCCAAACATAAATGAATTGGACAATAAATACTATGATTTAATTATTCAGGTTCGACGTATTATCAATTCTGTCCAATTATTTATTGATGTCGATCAATGTATCGATTTTATTGCAAATATGGAAGATGGAAGATTTTTGTTTATTTTATCATATAATACCGGTATCACAGTTGTACCTCTTATTAATGATTTGACTCAAGTTGATTCGATATACATTTATAATAATGAAGAAATCAAATCTGAACAAAGATTATTAGAATACAGTAAAATACAAGGGATCTTCTCTGATATCTTGATGATTTTCGATCAACTTCAACAAGAATTTCTATTATACGAGCAGAATTTAATATCAATGAATATAATCTCTCTCGATTCTACTCTTGATTTAAACGAACTTGTTCAATCATTTATATATTCTGTATTATTAACAGATATTCTTTGTGAAATGAATTACGATGAAAAAGCAAAGATTAACTTTTTCAAATTTTATCGTGATCAGTGCTTAGATTTTCAAGTTGACTTGGATAGAGTTGATGAAATGGAAAAGAGTTATAGTCACCATTCGCCTATTTGGTGGTACATTAAAATGCCGTCTATTTACTTGATACTTGCTAAAGCATTAAGAACACAAGACGTTACAAGTATTATTAAAATAGGATTTTATTTGAAAGATCTTAATAAAAACATGGAGCAAGTTTATTCCATGATAAATAAAATCGAAAAATTGGTCGTTTATCGAGGACAAATCATGTCAAATAACGAATTTGAAAAAATAAAGAAAAGTAAAGGAAGTCTTTTGTTGTTCAACAACTTTTTGTCCACAACTATTGATCGAGAAGTCGCTTTGAAATTCACCAATAATGTTCGAGATGATTCACATTTGGCAAAGATTCTTTTCGATATAGAAATTGATCCGTCAGTTTCAAAAAATTCATTTGCTCTATTGAAATTTGTTAATCAGTGTTCGGTCTGTGAAAATGAAATTCTTTTTCCAATGCACACCATCTTTCACATAAGTGAAGTCAAAGAAATCGACAATGGCTTATGGAATGTGACAATGATTATGACAAATGACATTAATTCTGAGTTCGAACGTCTTAAAAAACGTATTCATGAAGAAATAGAAGATTCTAATGAGTTGCATCGTCTTGGAAACTTATTAATTAAGATGGGACAGGTCGACAAAGCTGAAGAAATTTACAAGACACTATTCGAAATAATACCTAATGATTATTTAAAGGAACTCGTATATATTCACAATCAATTTGGGAATATTCTTATTGAGAAAAATTATCTAGAAAAAGCATTATCATTTTTAGAAAACACTTTTGACATTAGATGCAAATCTTCTTCATCAAACGATCCAGATTTGTCTGTTACCTACATTAATATTGGTTTCGTATACAATAAAATGGGACAGGATTTAAAAGCGCTCTCGTTTTATAAAAAGGCGCTTGAAATCCAACAGAGCACTCTTCCATCTAATCATCCAGACTTAGCTATTACATACAACAGCATTGGTTTGATATATAATACTATGGGAGAGTATTTAAAAGCACTCTCTTGTTATGAAGATACACTTAAAATTCAGCAAAAATCTCTGCCAATAAATCATCTAGCATTGGCTGATACATATACTAATATAGGTCTAATGCATAGTTCAATGCATAAATACTTAGAAGCTATTTCATATTATAAAAAGGCTCTTCAAATTCAGAAAGCAATTCTTCCATTCAATGATCTATCATTAGCAACTACGTATAATAATATCGGTCGAGCACATGCTGCTAAAGAAAACTACTCCTTTGCGCGCAATAATTACGATGATGCACTTAAAATTCAAGAAAATGCTCTTCCTTCGAATGATCCTTTACTAGCCGAAGCATACAACAATGTTGGTGAAATGTATCGATTAACAGGAAACTACATAACTGCATTGCAATATTATAAGAAGGCTCTTAAAATTCAAGAAGAACAACTTCCACCGAATCATTCATCATTAGCTAAGACAAAAAGTAATATAGATCAAATATATAACTCAATGAAGAACTATGAAAAAGTAATCTCAGACTTGGTGAAAATGTTTAAAATACAATCAAAATTACTTCCATCAAATCATCCAACATTCGATATGAGTAGTGAAGACATAGCAACAATATTGGAAGGACTTCATCGATATAAAGAAGCAATTAAACATAAATCACAAACATTTAATATTATGTCTAGTAGTATTGAATCTAATCAATCGCAAGCGGACAAACCTGAACAAAATCTAAGTGAACCTTCGACTATAATCATTGATGAAAAACTAAATGAGAAAACAGTTAATGAAAAGTAAGTTTATAAAATCTTTTATACCGAACAATCAACTTTCTATATAGATGGATCTATCCTGTTCTTCTCGTTCTTCCTTCATTAGAACAGTCTCAATTATATTCCATTTTGCAAGACATCACTGACAATTGTATCATGCCTCCAATTCAGATAGACAAGTGTATAGACAAATTAAAGTCAAACCAACAAATAAAGGACTTTATCTTTGATGTGTCATCTGTTTCCATTGATGATCGAAACCGTATACTCGATGCTGTATCATCTCTTAATAATATTACATCAATTTACTTATTGGGAAAATCACCAGAAACAAAGAAAGAACGCAATGAATTTTTTAAACAATTTGACAAAGTATGTATATTCTGTGAGGATCATGAGCAGCTTGCTGTTCAATGGGCATTGGACACGGCTAGTCATTGTCGCATATGTGGCAATCAATGCGCTAAAGCAGATGATAAAAATGCTGCTCGTGAACACTTTCAACGAGGTATAAACATTTACGATCGTCTGAAAAAATTCATCAAACAATCGAATACGACGTAAAGTGTCATAATAAACATTTTTCTATTTATCAAGGTTGATGAAATAAAATAAAATAAATTTTTCTATCCTCGAACAAAATAATTCTCTTTATATTAATCATGATTTCTTTTTAAGTTTTAGATTTTATGGCGACATCTAGCACACAAGTATTAACTCTTTTTGATCCTGAGGATAAGCATGAATGCTATGATACTCTATTCAGTAATAGAATATTTATTCGTTTTATTGATTCTCATCATTGTTGTAATCATATATGTACTCATGTCGTCAATCAAACAATGGATATTCATTTCTTTTTTCCTGACACTGAACTAAACCTTATTATGCATTGGCCACCTGAACATAATGATACTCATAAGTATATTTATTGTCGTGATCAAGCATCGATTAATCAAATTAGAACAGATCATGGAAGATGTGTTGCTAACAAGATATTCTCTGTTGACGACTTAGAATTTGAAATTCGCCATGTTCAAATTACCCTATTGTATTCATTAGCAAAGCAAAAACCTGAGGAATCACGTGAACGTGATGAAGTAGCATCAAAAACAATAAACGAATTAGAATGCCTTCGTCACATGTTAAAACAAATGATGACTGATCAAATGGGTGAGCAGCCAATCGAACATCAGTGACGCATAAGTTTTCGTTTTTAAATCCCTATTTGTTATCACATCACTTTCTTTTTATGATTTTTTTGCATATGAGTACTCAACGTAAGAGACTTCTTCAACTAGAGAAAAAAAAAAGACGACCATCGATAGACTGTTTTAACAATTCTGTACATATTATTATTCATCTTGGAAAAGCAAATTTTGAAATTTATCCAGTACTTTCTATCAGCGATAAAATAATCACATGTCATTTCTGCAATTTAAAATTGTCGTACACCCACAATTAAGTCTTTCATATGAAATTTTGCCAAAATGAATGATAAGCTATATGTATAGATTAGCCGTAAAAATATCGACGTAGAAAATTCTGACTAGTGAAAGACATGCTTCATTGTATGGGATAATACTACAATTCTAACAAAAGTTCAAACATAAGTCAAGAAATAGAAAAAGAAAAAAAAATTGTCATTTTTTTTGTTTAGCATTTTGTAAATGATAAATCATCTAAGTATTCCATAGCATTTATAACATCGTCATAATATTATTCACCAAGATAGTCCGTACGACATTCAATCGCAATTGTTTTGACTTGCTTCTAAACCTGCGCTAAATTGAATATTCATATGGTATAAACGATTCTCTTCTCCTTGTAGAAATTTTGTGAGAGACAAAATATTTGGATGATTAATCTGTATTCGACGATTAAAACCACTATGAAAGAGTGTTGGTACGGTATAAGAGACACTCCATACTCATATATTCAAATCTTTTGAAGTCTTATGTAGTCTTGAAGTCTACTGTTTCCTCTTCGCATCCATCCACATCCTGGACTTATCTAACTACATAATAGGAATAATACATTGGTATAATTTTGTCATTATGATATTTTATTTGAGATCAGTATGATTAACTTATACTTGAATAGTCGAATCGACGTAAAATAAAACGAATTTTCTATGAAATTTGATCAGTATTACCATAATCTGTACCTTTTTCTAGCCAATATAGTCGCTATGATATAAAGATACATTATCTGTAGAAGGAAAATTTAAATAAAAAAGAAATATAAAGAGATGAACGCGACTATAAGAAAAAGAAAACATCAGGTATATGTTATACTATAATAAAATTGTTTGTACTGTCATGAAATATGTTTCTAATAGAGACAATCACAAAACACGAAGATATACGTCGACAGAAATGAAAAGAATAGTTAAGAATAAAAAATGTAGATTCCAAATACTGACTCTGATATCATAGGTGCATTGGCTGACAACATTAGAATCAGATCAAATTATTATATATATAATAACAACATTCATGTATAAAATCGTAATGATTCATCATTTGAAGGACATCTTATCTGATCAAGTGAGATATGTATTTCAATTCATGAGTGAAAAGAATAAATCAATTCACTTTTTAAATGTAACACACAAACAAACAAAAAATGATTTATTCTATTTAAAATGAAATTATCTACATGAGAGTTAAAACAAAAATGATGAAAAGATTAAAAAACGATGAAAATAAAATAAGACGTCTTGCTCCATTTAGAGTAAATGGATAGAAGAAATCACCTGGTAGACGAACATTAGGTCGTGGTAATTGATCTCCTTGTGTAACAGGTGTATTCGATATATCTTGAAAAGTAACACTCTGACTTATTAGTAATGGTGTTGTCAATGTTGTTGTATATGTTTTAGCCTACAGAAAAATCAAAAACTGTTACGACAATCTCTGCAAGATTAAAATGTGAAACACGATATAACTGCTGTTGCTAATCACAGAACAATGGGCGATTCTTTTAGAACATATATATAGCTTATTTTCTGTTAAAAACTCGATTTTCTTCTTAGAAATATTAATTTTCAGTAAGTAATAACAAGATTGATGGAAAGAAAAGTAAGATTCTTAAAAGAGGATTTTTGTTGGAATTTTAAAAATCAATAAGATGACACATTATTCGATGTAGTTTTCTGTTCATAAACTTTTTTCCAACACGAAAACTGTTAGAACAAAGTTTTTCATATAAAGAAAGAGATCTGCGATTTATTTCGTCGATCCTTCTATTTTCTTTACGACAAGATACTTTCCTCTAAAATGACAGAAACTTGGCCATTTTTTGAGCTCACAATTTTCCCAAACTGTTAAAGATCTAGAACAGGTTTTTTTTAAACCGAGAAGTCAGCCATTGGTCAAAATGTATATTGGACGTTATTCAAATTGTAGAGAGTATCACTTTCATTTTTCCACGAAATGCCTATCTTGTTGCTCACTGTGCTCAGGAAGATTGTTTTATTCGATTTTTATTGGGACATATGTACTCACCATTGTTTTACTTAATTTTCCGGAAATGCAACAAGGAACTAGTTCATATGTTACAACGGTATGTTATTGATAAGTCGTTTCTAACGTGTCTGTGGATTGTGTCTATCATGGTCTGTGGCAGAAACGAAATTGGTCTCGATCTGAATAGGCTAAACGGGACCGGATCAGTCGGTCCGAAATTTAAACCGACATTGGACTGACAAGTTGTTGTACTACTTTATCTGTGCATAGTGATATTTGACGTAGTCAACTTTTAGATAAGTCTTACTACACATCCTTTATTGGATAATAAGAGAAAAACACTAAACAAGACAAAACCGGCAATGATCAGTTCACCGGTAAAAATGGCTGTAATGGACATTTCTAGTCTGTAGAATTTCTATGGTAATGTCTATCACAATCTGTTGAAGAAGGAGTCGGAGGTACAAATTTCTACCATATATACTTGAATATTTCTCTTAGATCGTGTTTCATAAAATTGAACGAAAATCTTTTTCACTTACTACACTTTGGTAATGAAATACAACTGCACCAAGGATAGGTTGTGGATTAGTAACAGAACCAATGTTAGCATAAGCTATTTGAATGTCTAGTCGAGTATAACACTGATCTATAGATGGATTTGGAATAGAGCCTTGTTGACACACAGGTTCATTGGAAGATCCTATTTCAAATATACAATATGTAACAGGTAGCCAATAGCCAGAGATGTTTGATGGATTTGGATTGCCATCAACAGCCACATAGAGATTAAAAGAATTGAAAGGCATAAAAATATTTGGCAAAACAGTTTGGTTTGGACAAATTTCGGCATTAGTTGGACTGAAAAATCAATGATGTAAATATTCAAATATAAAAGAATGTTCAATTTAAGTAAAAAAAAAAAACTATTTAATCATTTATCGATTGTTTTTTTTTTGTTTAGATCAATAAGTTTTATAAATTACTTTTTACGAACAAAAACAAAAGATTTGAGATAATAATACATATATTGTTATTATTTGTCATCAAGTTTCCAAAGCTCTACAATAATTTTTTTTCAATAAGATTTAATCGACTTTCTTTCCTATTGAAGTCTCTTTCGAAAATAAAAATAATGTTTGTACTATTATAAAATTTATTCAATCAAACTACACATATATACTAAGATTGGAAGTACAATCCTTTAAGCAGTAATAGTTTTTTCTTCGTTAAAATAAAAATAAAAATATCATCTGTATGATATCATGTTCATCAGTTTATGTTGAGAAATTCAATTTGAAAATATCATGATGACATAGAGAACCTATGATTTAGAAGTCAAACATACTGTATTAATAATGTATATTTTTGACAATTGAAGTATAACAGTGTATCGATAACAATAACAGTTATAGACATATTAATGAGAAATTTAGTTTGCTGAAAATTCTTTTATTGTTAAGAATTTAAATCGCCTAGGAATTTTCAGTCCCATACCATGATGTTTTCAGGAGATATTCCATAAATCAGGCTCAACGAATAGTTTATTTTGCAATCAACAATTTTTCGACACGGATCCGACGGACTCTAGTAAGTCATTATTTTGTCGATTAAATTTTTATTTATTTAAAAGAGTATGTCAGAGTGCAATGTCCTTTTTTTTCTAGTTCATGAAAGTCTCTTCATGATACATGCATGAATTACAAACAACAAAATACTAGTCTACTAGTATTATGAAAAATTAGCAGTCTTTCGTATGGCTAGTAGTTAAGTCATCATCTTCGAAATTCTTCAAAGGATCTTGACGGACTGGAAGATTTATCTTGAATTACGATACCATATACATGGTTTTGTAGAGCGATTTACAACACATCGAATAGAATATAAAAAATGAAGATTTTTTCGAACTTTGATGTACTGAGAGGTCATAGATTGGTCAAAATCCTTGAGGAAACATACATGATACTCATATACATCCTGTTCTCTAAGATAGACTTATGCAAATTTTGCTGTTAAACTCATTTGATACAATTATAAGTGCTCTTCAATATTATATAATCAATAATTTCTTCATAATTAAAGATTGACATTTGGTATTGCAGTGTACTCAACCCTGTGTCACATAATAAGTGAGTATGAATGTGAAACTTTCTGAAAAATTGCACACTATTGCATTTCATATACGTTCACAGATGATATGTTTCAGGACAGCGAAAACTCATTGTCAATTTTCAAGAGTGTTCGCTAGCAAAGTATATTTTCCTATACAAAGAGTTCGATATTTTAATAATACTTAAAGATCCTACTAAAACTTTTTTTTTATGAATCAGCATATTTGATGTAATGATATGAATAATTTCTTTACACATGAAAAAAAAAATTTGACCTCCAAACTCTTGGAGGAGAATCAAACGGGGACACTCAGAATAAAAATTTGAAAAAGAAATAATAAAATAGCAAATCTTCTTTCGGCAACCATATTCCCTTACTCCTCATCTAGGAGTCTAGAGGCTAAAAAATTCTTTCTATTTATGAAGAAGTTATTCATATCATTATATCAAGGATGTTCTACTGATTATTGCTATATAAAAAAGCTTTAGTAGGACTGTTGAGTATGATTAAAATATCGAGCTTTTATACAGAAAAATAGACTATTCTAAGGAACATTCCTGTACATTGACAATCGATTCCTGCTGTTCTGAGAGATGGCATCTGTGAAACATAGAACTCGATAGTGTACAATTTTTGAGAAAGTTTCACGTACGTACTGACTAATTCTGTGGCACTGACTTGAGTACATTGGAATACCATATAGTCAATAAATAGTCTAGGCCTATGATAAATCTCAATTTTTAATTATAAAGAAACTATTGTTTATAGAAAATTGAAAAGCACTTCTAGCTGTACCAAATTTAATTTACAAAACAAAATTTGCATAAGTTTATCTTAGAGAACAGAATATGTATGAGTATCATACATAGTTCTCGAGTATTATGAACCTTTCGTACATTAAAATATTCAATTCAAAACTCAAATAAGAACGATAACAATTAAAAAATTTTACCTAAATAGACACACTGATTGAGTGTTTTCACCAAAACGAACAGATATACGATTGGTGTTAGAACAATATCTGTTTGTTGATGCCTGGAGAATAGTAAAATCTGAAACACTTTAAACAAAGAAAAAAAAAATTATTTTTTGTTTTTTCTTTTCAAAACGGAAAAAATTTCATCAATTCGTTTCTCACGTAATATAACTTCCATTTGAAGTACCAGCTATAATAGGAAATCCTTGTAAATAACCTGGATTTCCACTACGTGATGTTTTTGTTTCTGTCAATCCATTCTATCATAAAAGAATTTTCAAAAGATATGTTTTAAAAAGTCTACTCTTCTTTATTACTTGAATAAAACGAATAGTAAATGTTTGTGGTACTGTGTTACCCGATGTTGCAGTTGTAGTATTCAAAATAATACTACAATTAGTTATACCAGTTGGATTTAAATAGTAAATAATCATTGTTAACTAAAATATAATCGAGAAAAAAAACGAAGAGATTCAATATAAATATGTACATTTATTTTAATTATCTTACAGTTCGAAGAGCATTTGAACATGTAGGATTAGTCCAATCTGTAACAGCAGTACTAGATGCACTACAACAAACATAACTTCGATTATTACCTAAATAAAAGAAAAAAGAAGAATACATATGAATAAAAAAACAAGAGGATAAAATACTGGTGAGAGTTGCTGGATTCTAGAAAAAATAAAATTATTGAGGAAAACTTAAGAAAATTGTTTATTGATGGATTGTTTTACCGTAATAAGACAAAATGAATTAATATATTTCGTAGCACTGAGTCCATCAAGACATGTTTGTTCATTTACTGGTTGAGCACATGTCGAAGTAAAATCATTCATATAAGCTAAATAAAAATAATAAAATATCAATAAAATAACTTTTACTTGTTCATATGAATCATATTTACTTATCGGTTGTAAACCTGAACATGTTTGACTATTGAAAAGACTTATTGGTAATGAATAATAACTTGATATATTACTTGTCGGAATGTATCTGAATATCGAAGTACCTGCCTATAATATTTGTAATTATCTTATATATAAACAGCAAAGTTATTCAATATATAAAATAAGAAAAGTTTAAAAAAAAAAACTTGTCATTGGCTATAAAATAGAATTTTTTATAGTCTCAGAAAAGAATTGTAAGAGTTGGTCGGTATGATTATTTTGAATTCGTACGACAAATAAAAAGAATTTTTGCAGAAAAATTATTTCGACTTTGGAAAATGTTAAGAACTTAAAATCAGTATTATGATGATGATATGCGATGAGTGGGTCTAATCAGTTATGGCTGATTCCTGCTTGAAGCGGCAAAATTCGATCACTACATCCAAAATGTTCACGGGTAAAGTCAACTGTGTATCATTCAATTGGGTTATAATAATTTCTTGGAAGCAAGAATCCGTTAATTTCATTCATCTCTAGATATTTTACTTGATAACTAGTTAGTTCAATTGGTGTTCCAAGTGGTGACGAAACACTATTATCGACATTGATTGATCGTGAAAAAGTAGTTGAATCTAATTTTTGATTTATTTGTTGTTGATAATAGGCAGCATTTGCATTGTCATCTGAATAGAATAATTTTAAAAGAAATTAAGAACAAAAAAATAACAATAAACCTTGATCATGATTAACACAAACAATATCACCCTGTTTTTCAATAATATATGGTGAATTTGATTTATATATTGGTACATTTTTGAAACATGTAGATTGTGTCGTAGGCTTTACTGGAATCGAACTAAAGTATATGAATTCGATCTATATTGTTATTAGTTTTCATTACAAAAATTTGATGTTAAAATAACCTATAGATTGCTTAGAAGATTCTGTCTTTCATACAAATAAAGTATATATCTTAATATGTAACTTTAAACAATAGAATTCATATAAAGCTGGTACTCTTTAAAACGAATCGTTTCGTCAAACATGAGTTAAAAAGAATGTCGAAAGTATAGGTGTAAGAATTTGGATCTTCTTCTATGAAACGCTAGTCAGAAACCATCACAGAAAGGAAGAAGAATGTCGCTGTCTTTTCGCTACCTTGTGATGTATGGTATTGCGTAACGCCGCATTCATTAGTCCGATATCTTTCCTACAACTAATGCTTGCTGTAGGTCCGGACAGAAGGCTGGCTGACGCAGAGTTCTTGCATTCAATCGTTTAAGGTTCCTACACACACTGACTAATCACATATTAACCATAAGCGTAAGTGTATGTCCCAACTTAATCAAAATGCTATCGGACGCATGACCGAAAGTAAACAGCCGTTAGTGACTTATCCAGAGTCAATCTATGGCGGGCGATATTAATGTTTGAACACAGTGCCAATGAAATACATGCCGAATAATGTAAATACTCGGTCATGATGGGTGACTATCACAAACCATATATCAATAATATCTCATGATAATATACGAACAACTTCCTTATTGTATTTCTGGAAGACTAAGTAAAATGATAGTAAAGAAATGTATCCCAAAAAAAAAGATAAGAATAAAACAGTTTTTTTTTTTGGTAGTCAGAAAGATCAGCTACACGGTGTTTCACATTTTAATCCTGCAGGGATTGCGCTAATAGTTTTGTTTTCTTTCATCGTCAAATCTGATCCTCTCACATTTTATCTTTGTTCAGATTTTGTATCTGACTTACATAGTAACTTCATTTGTTATAACTTGATTACAATTAAATGCTTTGATATCTTCTGTCGAACAGTCAGTGTCACAACAACATGATACATCACATGAACCATTGTTTAAATTACATGAACATGTTCCATTATCTAACAACGAAAGAAAAGAAAATCTGTGTTAAAAAAAATGGAAGAAATAACAATAATTTACTCGTATCTATTGAATTAACTGCTAGATTTTGACATTGAACAAGTTGAGTAAATAATAAAAACAATAAATTGATAAGTATAAACATCTAAAATTTATTTTACAATAAATAAATATATACAGAAAAAGAAAAATTTTATTTTTGAAAAACAAAAAGAACAATTGATTTATGCTCTAAAATAAAAAGAAAAATTATTTAGGTGAGAAAAAATAAAGAAAGATTTATACATACGCTTTTAATGAAAGTTGTTCCATTTTTTCACTTTGCTCACGTTCAGTTTTTTGTAATGATTCATATTCAACTCGAAGTCTATTTAACACAAAATAACTCAATTAATTATATAACAAAATAACAGTACATACCGATCAAGTTCAATCATTTTTTCTTTAATTAAGGATTGTAATTGTTGTTTTTCAAATTCTCGATATTTAGCCGCTGATTTTAACATATTCTTAGCTCCAATTGACTAAAATTCAAAAAAAAAAATACAATATATATAGAAAATATTTATCGAAATAACATCGATTAACAGAAAGGAAAGAATTTATTTCCAAAAGATACAGTGTTAACTATAGGACAACTTTATTTCTATGTTCTATAAATAGAAATCATAAAGAATATGAAAGAAAAGAAAACAATAAATATTATTTTTAGACAAAAGAATACTTTAAGATTTTGATTAATAAAGAAATCTCAATAATGCAAATAACACCTTCAATTAGCGTTAATGTTCAAAAATCTTTTGTCAATTTTTGCTAGTAATCAATATACCAGTTTTTTTTCCTGCTATTCCGTAATCATTTATTGAAATAAATGCTTGATATCGTATGTCAGTAAACAAGACATATAATAATACTGTTATTATATTGAATAAATTAAATTTCTTTTATTTAATTGTTTGAAATAAACTTACTTTAAGTCTTGCTACTTCGACTTGTTTTGAATATTCTTCAGTTTTTTCAATTAATGTATCAACAATTATTTTGAATTCAAGTACATCTTAATGAATTAATTTAAAAAATCAATTTCAATGAAATACTATAAAATATATACTGTCAATAAAATCTTTGCATTCATCACGTAATTCAGCAGAATCAGTTACTCTTTCTGGATCGATTAAACGAATTTTATTTTCATCATCAATAAATAAACCAAAATTAGATAATGCTTCTTCAACCATTTTATTACTTATAAAGATTAGTCAATCCACTTTTTTTTTTCCTGTTAAATTAAAAGCCAACATGCCATTGAAGAATTCTGAATACTACTGATTGCTGAGCAACTGTCAGATTGTATCATGTTTGCTTTTTTAATACAATTATAATCGATCAAAATTTTATTCAAGGAGAAAAACAAAATAAGTCATTTTCATGAACAATAAATATTGATTTGACATATTATAGATGACGCTAATAACAAATAAAATCTTCAAATTATATATTGTCGTTGACTTGTATTCAGTGGCGGATTTATCCATTTTTTTGGCCCGACTCCACATGAGTCGAACTGTGGTATCAACCATTTTTTTCTTCGATTATGTCATAGAATTTTTTCTTGTTTTACCTTCTTCTTTTATGTATACAAACTTCGAGCTTTATATCATCATTGAGCAAACAATGCATTTTCTATGCATCATTGTTTGATGTCAATAAAGGAAAGATCATGCAATATATAACTTCTTGTTCTACTAAGCCATTGAAAAGAGCATTCAAAATGCTTTTTGTATCTGCAAAATGTTCCCTTTGCAGACTCACTGCGAAATCCAAAAAAGTGTTTTCGTAATCCTACCCGAGTTAGACATTCGTGGGATGATAAACCTTTTCCTTGTGATCTATTTTTCGATTTTTTTCAGTAGAAAATGCGCAAAAATGAGCTGATAAGGTTTCTAATTTGACTGAAAAATACGTTTTGTGACTGCGATTGCAACTCATTCATCGAAACTAGAGCCACTGCCGTGGTACAAAAATAGACATTCATTTTTTTATATGCAAAGTCAGTTTTGGGAACATTCTTGTTTGGTTTGTCATGAATCAGTTCTCTACAATCATTTTCTATATTCTCCATTTAAAATGTTTCGAAACTAAAAAAGAATCATCGAAAACATCCAGCCGCCACGGGTATTAGTAAAATACGCTCCAACCCACTCCAAGCGCCGTTCGGCGAAAGGTTTTATTAATCGATAGACCTTTATACTCTTAACTCACTAGACCCCACACCAAGCCGCTTTAATGAAAAAACTCCTAAACAAAAATGTTAAATACCATTTTGGGTGGTTCACTCCAACCCACTCCAATTCATCTTCATCTAGATCTCAATAAGATATATTATTTTCATAGAAAATGAACATCGAAGTCATTTCTCGATACATCTAGAGTTATTCAACTTTTGAATAAAATCTCTTATTGTTTTTCAACATATATGATTAATGAAATAACAAGTATACATACGCCGCACAATAAGTGATGTTTCTTTTGTTATCTTTTCTTTGTTTGAAGAAGCTCACTCCGATGAGGAAAATATGGATCTCACAGTCCACTTCATCTCATTATATTGGATGAAATCGACGCCATATGTAAAAAAATGTCAACAGAAGCCTCTCCTCAGCGTAATTCTGCCTATGATAGTATAACCACCCAAATTCTAACAGAGATCGATGGGATCAGATACTTGGATAATATTCTAATTATTGGAACAACCAACATGATTGATAGTATCGATCCGGCTCTTTATCGTCCCGGACGACTGAACACATTAATCGAAGTTGGAGTACCGGATGTAAAAGGTCGCGATCAGATATTTTTAACATCTATACGAAAACACTATTACAAAATTCTTGATAGTCGGACGATACTAATATTGAACGATCGGTACAACGAACCCATAGAATGACTGAAGCACATACCGAACAACTAGTTTGACGAGCAACGCATTCTGCCATGAAGCAAGATTTGCAAAGTCGTCGAACATTACGCATCACAGATGAAGAGGCTGAAGAACTTCAGATTAAGAACATTGATTTTACAGTAGTCTTAGCACAATTTGAAAGCCAGATCGAAAAGCATACTGCTTTCTAATGTTTTCCTATTTCATTATAAACACAACCGAAACATTAAGCCTATTTTAAAATGCATGTTTTTCATTTCATGCAGAAACATACGAAAAAAAGAGATAAACTTTTATAGTCTTGTACTAATAAAGCACACCATGTGTAAGAAAAAAGAACAGAATAAAAAGAAAAAGAAAAGAAACATCACTTATTGTGCGGCGTATGTATACTTGTTATTTCATTAATCATATATGTTGAAAAACAATAAGAGATTTAATTCAAAAGTTGAATAACTCTAGATATATCGAGGAATGACTTCAATGTTCATTTTCTATGAAAATAATATATCTTATTGAGATCTAGATGAAGATGAATTGGAGTGGGTTGGAGTGGACCCCCCAAAATGGTATTTAACATTTTTGTTTAGGAGTTTTTCATTAAAGCGGCTTGGTGTGGGGTCTAGTGAGTTAAGAGTATAAAGGTCTATCGATTAATAAAACCTTTCGCCGAACGGCGCTTGGAGTGGATTGGAGCGTATTTTATTAATACTCAGCCACCACCGATCACTGTATTGACGTACTTTTGCACTAAAAAGGTTTTGATATATAGAGCGCCTCTTTCTATGAAATACGAATAAAATTCATTGGAGTTCGTAGTACCTAAGACAAGGTTATCATTTTATTGTATGACGTCAAGAATGTATTATCAAAAATAAAACATAAAAAATGATTGTTGTTTATTATCAGTGAGCAAACATAACTCATGAAAATTCATTTATTCACAAGACTTTTGCGTCATCATTCTATAGTATATGTTATTTTTGTATAAAATTTAATAACAGTTATTCAATTCACAAGAGACGAAAAAATAAATGTAAACGCATTATAATAAATATTTGCTACTTAAAAATTCAACATTTCTAAAAAAAAAAAGAATGATCTTCTAAATGTATAAATATGCTTTGATTTTATTTCTGTGTTTAAAAACTCATGAACATATTAGTCAATATTCATAAAAAGTGAACTTTACATTTCGAGATGAAAAAGTAAACAATTTCTATGCTATTAAAAAAAAAGGAATTCAAAACTGTGTCTGAAGAGATTCTTCGTCCGCTGGGTTCATTGCTGCATTATCGTAAGCTTCACCTCCACTTTTTGATACATATGGAGCTGGTGAAACGACATTCGACGGATATTTACGTTTCACTTTTTTATCAGTTGCTGATGGTGTAGGTGAAGCACCATTTGATGAAGATTTATGTTTCGTATTTTTATCAGTTACTGATGGAGTAGGCGAATCACCATTTGATGAAGATGTATGTTTCGCATTTGTATCAGTTAGTGATGGAGCAAGTGAAACAGCATTCGACACAAATGAATTTTTCTTATTTGTATCATATATTTCAGTTTTTTTCATTTCAATATCTCTCTCATATGCCTGTAAACAAAAAAATAAAAATAAAATGACATTGTATTCTACTTATTGAATAGAAAAAGAAGAATTAAATACAAACGTTTTTTTCCTGAAAATAATTCGTATAATCAACTCCACATCGAATAAAATCACGAACACGTTTAGGTAAACAACAACAACACATATCACCTATTGGTATAAGTAATTTCGGATCAACTTCATTTGGTTTAAGTGGATGTGTTAAATACGATACAGTAAGACCAACAATAAGAACAGAAAGAACAGCTATCGGGGTATACCACATATAACTAACTGAATAGAAATCAATTAATGGATCTTTTCTAAATGATAAACATGTCAATGAAATTTAATATTTATTTTAAATCTTACTTAATCAGTAAATCCTCTGTTACTGTTTGATTAACAAACACAGAACAATTCAAGGGTAAACGTATATTATCCATTTGATTTTTTGTTATTTGTGCACCCAAAAAAATCCATAATTGTAAAACAAGACTTGTTAAAAAGCCAATTAAACCTCCATGACGATTAGCTTGTGGAAAAAAGAAACCAAGAAAAAAAACACCCATTATTGGTCCTGATAAAACACCAAATAAAGATAATGCTGCATTAAGAACTGAACCAAGATAACTAACAACATAAGTTAAGAGCATAACAACAGCTCCTAATACAACAGAAAAGATTTTTGATATCAAACCTTGTCGTTCATCACTTAATTTTCGACCCATTAAACCTTTATAAACATCTTCAATAATAACAGCTGAAAGACTATTTAAACCAGATGATATCGTTGATAATGAACCAGAAAAAATACATGCTAAAAATACACCTGGTAAACCTGGCTTGTCACTTAATACTTCCATAACAAAATATGGAAATATTTGATCAACATCAGAAACTTGTTTAGCTGTCAATGGATCACAATTAGCATAATATGCATAAAGAATAATTCCAATAAAACTTGATAAAATAATAACTATAGCAGCACCAGCTGCATTTATAAATAATGCTTGTTTAGCACCACGTGTTGTACGAACACACATATAACGTTGAACTTGTGTTTGATTAAAGCCATATGTTGATAAAGAATTCAAAGTACCACCGATAAGCAATGACCATACTGTATGACGAGTTCGAGGATCAGCACTTATACTAGAAATACAAGAAAAAGTTTTTATTTGTTCGAATCAAATCTCTATTTAGAAAAATAACTAAATATAGACGTTCTTAAGAAATAAATTGAATATAAGAACTAGAAAATATTTTAATTTTTCTCAATGTACACACTTCATATCACACGTTTGTTCGCACTATTGTGATACTCATAAGAATTTTCAGTAATGCTTACGACTTTCAGTTCTAATTACATAAATGATTACAGAGAATTTTTTTCCACCCAAATTCGAATTATTTATTACAAAGAATTCAAATTAATCGAGAAGAAAACAGTTTCAGAATGTATTTTACTAATATAAATTGCTCGGGCCCATCAGCAGTATCAGTCTATATCGAAATCGACTCAATTCTGTCAGTTTTAATAACCTTCAAAAATATTCACCCTTTTGGATATAATACATCATCAAGTCTTTTTTCGGATATCCTATCACCAGAATGTCACACGTTCTTTGTTGAATACCCTGCTAAAAATTTTCTCAATATACAGCTACTGATCAAGTACACGCTAAGGTATCTGACCAGTTTTTATAACATTCTATGCAAAATTTTTCAACAAGTTAGTAGATTGAACATTTAGAAGTATTTTTTAATCATGTTTTGAAAATTCATGAAGTATTCAAAGGTTCTTGTGGCATACTGGCAGCAGACTACTTTTGTAGGTAGCCTAAACTCAGTACGCTTACACTTTCAAAACCAAAATCCGCTAATATAGTGCACATTATATTGATCGGTATATCAGCAATACCTTCTCAGTAGTTATTACATGAGTATTAAATAAAAGAGTCGTCCATAGATAACCATAATGAAAGGATTAAGTTGAGCAATCTTATTTTATGAACAATCCATCTGACTGAGTATGAACCAGAGATGTTAACAGGTCATTCTGTGAACTTTTCCAATTCAAATCATTAGTTGATTGTCATTACTATTTATTCTATCAGATTATGTCAGATAAATGGATCAATTTCAGTTTATGTATGAAAGTCGAATTTGTGTAGTTTTCTGGCAAAAAGTGACTTTTCAATAAGACTTTTAAAGCTAATTTAAAAAAACAAAAATTTCATTGCAAATAATCTAACGTCTTTGTTATTTTTGCTTCGGAAATAAAACTATGACTTTTCGTAAAATACCTATCAAATTGAATTCTGCCGCCTTCGTATGCAATTGAAAATGTCGGTCCAAAACCATTAAGTCTTATTAAACCTAAACAAAAACAAAACTTTTTCATTTATATTTCTTTGATATCCTTTTATAACCTTGTATAATCGTAGCGAGAAGACCAACAAGAATTACTAATGCTTGTAAAACATCTGTCCAAATAACTGCTTTCATACCACCCTAGATATATGTAGAGAGAGAAAAAAAATAATTAATCTTTTTATACTTTGATTTTTTTTTTTTTTTTATATAGTATGCTTATGATATTTACTGTTCATGAGTTTAGATCAAACGAGCTATTGAACTGTTGAAATAGTATTTTTAATAGAAACTGATTTGATAGAACAGTTTTCATTTACAAACTAATGCTTTTGTACCGAGATAACAATTCAAGTAAGAACAAAGTCACAGACTCTGCAATTATGAAAGTTGCGTGAAACTTTTCGAAATCTAAAAAAAAGCCTTATGAATCTAGTTGAAATAGTTTGATGTTTGATGAAGTCTTTGAAAATTTTCGAAGTCTTGAAGTCTGCACTTTTTTTCTCTTGATATCAAATATCCTCAAAAAAGTTCTGAATACCATTTTCAAATATACTTCAAAAGCTTATAGACATGTTGCTCAGGTAACTTTCACATTTAATAGCCGTCGATTTGATATAGCTCTCAAAAATTTATTGATAAGCGGTTTTTTTTTCAGTCGGTTAGTTCTTATCAGAGAGTACTTGAAAAACATCAATTCGTAAAAGAAAGGTATTCGAATAAATCAGTTTCTATTAAAACGACTGTTTGCATAAGTCCTCAAATCGAATCTATAATCAAACCGTTATGTGTGTCTACTAATTACATACCACAGATGAATAGAAGGTACAAATAACTCCAATTGAAACGACAGAAAGCCAAATATTTAAACCAGTAGCTGAATGAAATTAATCATTAATTTTCATTTCAAAAATTGATCAAATAAATTACTTTGACTAAGTGCTAATGCAGGAGCATATAAAACAATAGCCATGTAGATTAGCTATTTACATAATAAATATAAAGTTAATTTAATTATTAAATATTTGTTTACCATAAAAGACGAAAAAGTAAAAGATGCACACATGCGTACTGCACGATCAAAACGTTTTTCCAAATACTAAATAAAATGTTATAGTACTTGAATAAAGAAATATCAGATGTGTGAACATACTTCATATGCACTTGTAAAATTCATTTCACGAAACTTTGGCATAAATACTAATGCTGTTACTGTTGAAGCAATCGTCCATGAAATAGCTAAAAGATAATCATTATTTTTATTTTTATTCAATAATACAGTAAAGCATGGGAATACTTTTCAAAAAGTAACCAGTTACACACCTGCACAGTACTTGTTAACTAATAGTGGCGTAACCGAGAGGTGGTTAGGGGAGGACTGAGCTCCCCTCTTTCCCCACCAAACGAAGCCGCGCCAGCTAAACTCTCCTACGAGCCCTATCACCGGCGTAGAGTTCAATCGCTATAGCCCCCCCCCCCCTTCCCACCGTCAAAAGTCTGATTCTGCCACTATTAGCCGACACTAAATATGTTTCGACAGATTAGCTAACAGTTTTTTCATAAGTAGAATATGACAGAATTAAAAAAAAAAAAAAACCTGAAAATTGTTCATGTTTATGAACTGTTGATCAAAAGCTACATCCACTATGCTGGATTTTCAATCTAGACCAAGTTATATACAGTAACGTCGAAGAAAGATATTTCGATCTGAGGGTGTAGATGGAATAAAGATGTTGCTCGCATTCATATCCTATTAGGTTGATATTTTCTATTGTTAAAGTTGTACAAGAGATGTGAGTATAGAAAATTACTACGAAGTCAATTTAATATCTCTTGGACTTATGTCTGTTTTGACGAAAACATTTTGGTGCATGTTAAGAATTATTTAGTATGTTTATTTATACACAGAGTTTCAGATTAAAATGTCTTCGTTTTACTTTTCCGTAGATACATTGCTCTAGGTCGAAAATTGAATAAAACTTCTTTAAATTTTAATATAGAGCTCTTGGATATAAACAATTTTAAGGTTTTCTTCGTCTTATCGACTCATAGTTAACAACAAAATATGAATTCAACATTGAGAAAACAATTGAAATGTATTCCACATCAGTATATTGAATGAAGTCGAAACATTCTTTTTATAGATTTATAAGAGTTATTTCAATCTTAGTGAGACAATCTTTGATTTATAACTGATTTGTAAAATTTTTAAGCATACTGAACACACCTAACAAAATTACTTGGCTTAGTTTCATGCTACAGATTCGAAAATATCAAACAAAAATAAACATTAAAAATCGTCATGGCATGCAAAAAAAGAGAATAATTGTCAGATTGTCTGTAGCAAAACCAAGCCTCCGTGTATCGTATCGATCAACATCTGAGATCCTACTAGCCACTTTTTTGTATATCTCTATAATGGATGAGTAACTACTTCAGATGTGCCTCTTTTGTACCAATCAATCATTGTACAAAAGAAATAATTGACCATTTTTTTTTTGCTTTTTACCTTGATAGACATACATAGTACCAAACAGATAAACTTCACTTGGTGTTCCTAACAAAGTAATAGCTGATAGAAATGAAACCATGATACTAAGAGCTGTTGGAAGTACCTGAATGTAAAATAACCAATCAAGAGAAGATCATTTTAATTTAATTTAAGACTTACTGCCATACCACCATCAGCTGTAATAGAAAAAATATATTTGTACTTTTGTTAACAACAAAAAAAATAAATAAATATTTAAATTTATTACCTAGAAGAAATTCTTTTGCTGAACTCTTTTTAGATTTAACAAATCCAAATATAGCACCAATAACAGCAGATGCAAGAAGAAGTATAACAAGAAGAACATAATCGACAGCGCTCAATTTACGATTTGCCATTTTGTTTCTAAAAAAAAAATAAATGTGATGAAAGAAAATACTTCTATTATACCTTTTTTTTTTTCTAGATACTCAGAAAACTACGAAAAACATGCAATAAAAACAACAGCAACATTCTTATACGCAATCATAAAAGAAATGATAACACTAATATCTTTTTTTTTACTCTGTTCTTTTTTTGTCGACTTGAAAAACAACGTGACAAGATTAAAAGAATCACGTCACACCGTGGTAAACTATGACGATCATATTATTATTAGAGAGAGTACATAAAAATCTGTTTTTATGATGAAGACTTAACAAATGTCATATATATCTACATAAAAGGAGTAATACTTTTGATAAATAGTTTCGAAGCAATAGCCTTTCTTTTTTACTATTTTCCTATATATAAATCAATATTGCTTTCAATAATGATATGTTGATATCTCTCGAAAGATTACGATTATTGACAAAATCGAAGCTGAATGACACCATCTTGTTTATTTCGTACTTGAAATCCAGAAAAGTGCGAAACTCTCTTTGATAAAGAACTATTTGCTATATGACATTGCTTGAAAACTGATAAAAATTAATAGTGCATCATTTTTCTGACGCATGTTCGCAATTGATTATGCTTTTCTTTATGCTGAATATAAGTGACATGTTATCTGAGAGTATCTAATAGAAAAGGAAGTACATTTCTATTGAAATAATGTACTCAGTTTGTTGATCTTCCATCGTGAATTTAGTATTGCATTGGTTTTTATTTGAATAGTATTTACTTTTTTGAAAAGATAAAGCAGTATTTTATCGTTCTCACAAATAACAAAAAAAAAAGAAATAGAATTAGATTCCGTTAAATGTACATTTTTCTAGGTTACAATGAAAAAAATCATATAAAATTCACAATATTTATTTGAAGTATTGATATCTATGTATCGCTCTAGTCAAATATATAAAGACAAACATATTCTTACTTTTGTTTTTCTACGATATTAAGTATTTAATTCAAATCCAAATAGTACTTTGAATAATCAATGAAGTGCTCTATCAAATGCATTTCATAGACGAAGTTTAGGAGGAATATTTCTGAAAAACTAAACTCGGTAGTTTTTAGATCTCACAAGCCTATGTAGAAATTAGGTTTTAGGGGCATTTTCTTAACGAACACAAAATCCTGAATAAAATCTATGCCTTCCATATTTTCTACGATTTTGCCTTAACAATTTAGAAATAATATCAAAAATAAAAGAATGCATTTTTAATAATGCTATAACGATTTTCGTGGTACTTATAGCTTTTCAGAGGAATATCGTAGGACATATAATAAGTCCTACTGTTATGCAGAATTTTGTGCTCTGTAAGATGGTACTCTGAAAAAACAAATTTCTACAAAGTTTTCTGAAGTTTGAAAGCTACTATGTTTGGTTTTTCAGAAACCTTCCTCTCATAGTCCATCTAAAAGATTTTCGCTTGAAATGTATGATAAGCCGGAATTTTATCTACGAAATTCGAACAATACACACAACAGTAAGAACTATAGTAAATCAATTCCATTTCAGTTATTATGATATTGAATTTTTTTAATAATTGTCACAGGTTTGTCTATTGAATATGTGCATCTTCTTTTTTTTCTTCTTCTCGTTTCTTGTGGGTGTGGGGATGAGCGTGAACGTAGCGATCCTTGATATGTTATACCCATGCAATTTGATTTCTTTGATGATATCAATAAAAATAATGAATTCGATTTGTTGCTTGGAATTCAATACTTAAATGGTAATTCTTATCGTCATATTAGGTTAGAAACAAAGACATTTCTGTTTCCATCAGACACTACAGTTCAAGCTATTATGGATATTGTTCGAATTTGGACAAAATTGTCAAACGAGAAAAGGCAAAGAAAATTTCCATCACTATTTTGCGTCGTGCAATAAATCGAATTTTGATTGGTTTACTGGTTTTTCATTGGAGTAATTGTATTTGTTTCAAAACATGTAACACATCAAGAAGACATATACGTTGAGTTGATTGATATTTTTATCGAGAATTCTTCATCACATAATGATAAATGCTAAAGTGAAACTTCAAAAACAAAGAATGCCCCTTCATTATAGAAGATTGATTAAAGGACTTAAATGGATAGCAAGGTAGGCATGTCTCATTGTGAGAAGAAGATCAGATTGAAATTTGTCAGAATGAATATTAAAAAAAAACCGAATGAAATACTTCATTCGTTCATTACAGACAATAACTAACAGAAATTTATAGCGCAATTTGTAAGGCAACGTGTTACCGAACTATCTTCCCGCAACAATACAACTAGATCAATTGGAAAGTTCAGCTGCAAAATCAATAAAACCAATTTATTGAGGAGAATAACTCATATTGATTCCATATTCACATACAAGTCAATGTACATGAAGATATAAAAATGAAACATAGAAAGCGAGAAGCAGAAGAAGGCAACTAATTTGGACACATTTTACAATTCTCTAATCCAAAATTTTTTAACATTGCTCTTGAATATCATGAATATCATCTTTAATAATAATTCACTCAATAACTAATGCAAAGAAAAGTCTTGTCTAACTGTTTTGAATTTATACATGTTTGTTTTTATATCAATAGTTAATTAACACCTCGAAAGATTATTTTTCACTGTTTGTAGAAATATCTGATATCAAATAATTGGAATAAACTAGTTCAGATGATAACCGAAGTTTGTCTTGATGAATTTTTTTCAAAATTACATTAATAGATCAAATTTTTATTTACGTCATATAAATGCTGAATTCGAATATTAAGCAAAGTAGTACATTTCACTTACAATGAACCTATAATTATCACTGTCGTTTCAATGTTGAAGATGTTTGATTGGATGCAACTAAATAAATCAGCGTTAACTTTGAATCAACAGTTCATTTTGTTTTTTGTTCTTGTTTATTCTGTTGAGCAAAAAGAGAGATCATAAATATTTGTTTCAACATGTTCTGTGATTAATTCTGTCAAAGGCAAATTAATAAATGAAATAGTTATCTACGAAGTAATAAATATAGATCATCTATCCTGAAAGAAAGATGCATGCATACATAACTTACAAGTGCTGTTTTTGTAAGATCCGCTATCATTGATATTATCATAACAGAACTATTTAGAGTTGATCTAAAGTTTTCATACACAGTGAATAAAACTTTAAAGATAAAGAGAGATTCTTTTTATTTTATGTTATCAAATGTTCAGGATACTTCTCGTACTTATTGATGCAAAGTACCACTGTTTGTACCAGTTCTTCAAAAAAATTTCTGAGCTCTTTTAAAAATGACATGAGATAATCAATATTTTTGTTCGTTAGATCAACCAAATTATGCTTTATGTAATCATTTAACCCAAAAATACATAATGCAAATGCTGGTGATATTTCGACGATAGTGATATTATATTGATACTTGCTTCTTTTAAATAATTATTAACATTTGAATATGAGTATGAAGAATGATACAAAAAAAGGTCAAATAAAAATGTCGAAAATGTTAGTATATGATTTTAGTTTATTTAGATATAAATAACTTTACTCATGTTTTGAAAAGAGAAAAATATTTTTAAAAACCAGATACAACTAGAGTCCATCAGGTCCAAGAATTCCTGAACCTTATTAAAAAATTCTTGGATCGAGATCTTGTCGATCAGAAATTGTTGGATTCGGACCTGATTGATTAAGATTTAGTGACTATATCCCATCGGGTTTAAAAATTCCTCGAGTAAAATCTAATGGGTTCTACACACAAGTGATATTGTGGGGAATAGAGGAATTAACAAAAGTGATACAAAAGTACGGATGCATGTTAAGCAGTAAAGTTTATTTGTTTCCCTTCCCTCAGTTAATGACAAGACATCCAATAATTGATTAAGATCAACTTCTTCATTATTTGAATAGCGTTCATTTAAAGTATTAATACGATGTTGTGTTGCATTGGTCGATGCCATTTTTGAAGACACAAATAAATAATAAATTGCTTATTTACGTCATCTTCAAATTTTTCGACATTTTCTCTTTCAGCGTTTTTTTATTTCGACCTTTTCTATGTATTCAGTATGAACTAAATTATTGTTGTCAAGCAATTTAAATTTTTTTATACCTGATGTTTCTCTTCATTTATATATTTCTTTAACAAACAGGTTTAGATATTGTTTTAAATAAAATACTTATGATCTGCAGTCTTGATTTGATATAAACTATGTGTAAGAATAGTTTTATTTGGTTTAAAGAATAGAGAAAATAAAGTTTTGCTTGATATATGTATCATCATGAATATTAGTCTTTGACGACTTATGTTCATTAATCTAATTGGCGTCAGATAATTTGTGACTCTTAAGGAATAGTTAGGCAGAAGAAAAAAAAATCACCTTGCACAGCCAACAAATGATTGCAGCTGAATATTTATAGATTTCGAAAAAGAAACTGAAAATCTTCCAACAATGAGCATCTCCATAAAGTGAATACTTTTGACCGATGTCTCGATGGTAGCTACATTAGAGAGGTTTGTATTGTAGTCTATAAAAAAATATCGATTATTTGCATTTGTAGATTCAATCCATTTTTATATTAATCTTCTTGAATAATAGACACTCGTTACTGTCTAATATCTCTGATATATGTATAGAATCATTTGTTACGTATGTTGAATAAAATGCGTTATAGTTTTTTAAGTTTTGCTCAAACAAATCAAAAGCATGAATAATGAGAAAACTGTGACAGTGAATATGTTGTCAAGATATTCTTGTCTCGATTTCATTTTCTTGAAGAGAAACTAAAATAGATTCTTTTTTTTTTCTATACACTTCAACATAAAATTTATGTCTGAAACGAAAAGATCTTAAAAATTAGACAAGACAATCAGTAGACAACAAATCTTGACTGATAAAATAAGACTTTTTTCATTTGGAAAGAATCTTACATTTCTTGTGAATTAGCTTGAATTCTCTTTTATTACGGAAAAGGACAATTTCTTGGATTATATACCAAGACTCTTGTTCGTTATTCTCATAATTGACAACGGAATCAGTATCGATTTGAAGTAATACCGAGGAAACAAAGCACAAGGCCATAAACCATATTGATAACAATGTCCACTGAGCTACTAATAAAACAAACTGCAAAGAAAAAAGAAACATTCTTTTCTTTAAATGTTAGCATAAGTTTTTTAGAAACCATACATAATTCTTTGTGTTTCAATGTTGATAAGGCTCTTTTTAGTCATTTTATAAGTTAATAGAAAGACTCTTATCTGAATTGTCCTTGCTTCTCATTTGCCCGCATTTATTACGGTATGAAATCCTTAGTCTTCATCATTTAATCCTATTTTTAATTATTCTATTATTATTTCTTCCCCTTTAATGTTCGTCAATCTCAATTTGAATCTTCGCGGTTTGTCATATCTATATATGAGAATCTAAACAAAATACTAAATTCTGCTATTCAAACAAATACAACAGCCAAATTAACTTAAATTATTGTTATATCACATTTTAAAAAAAACTCAGATTGGCTCGATTTACTTATTGATGATCAAGTTTCATATGTTGTCTATACACAATCAGCTCAGCTATTAGTACATTATCATAAGATTGCAATGAATAAAGGCAGATAAACTGTAGCCTATCTTCAATATATTGTTGACCATTATTCAAATTTACCATCATCAATAGGTTTTGTTCATGGACATCGAACATCTTGGCATCAAAAAGATCCATCAGATATTGTTACTGCATTACGAGCATTACAATGGAATAAATATAATTATATGCCATTAACTAGTGAAAAAACTCATTGTACATATACATAGATTTCAATCGATCCTCAAATAAAAGTTAATTATGAATTATGGCAAGCTGTTTTACAAAAATAACTTGGTTCTCTACCAGAAAATGNTTTTGTTCATGGACATCGAACATCTTGGCATCAAAAAGATCCATCAGATATTGTTACTGCATTACGAGCATTACAATGGAATAAATATAATTATATGCCATTAACTAGTGAAAAAACTCATTGTACATTTAAACAGAATTCAATCGATCCTCAAATAAAAGTTAATTATGAATTATGGCAAGCTGTTTTACAAAAAGAACTTGGTCCTCCACCAGAAAATGGAGTAAGAACACATTGTTGTGCAACATTTGTTGTTAAGAGACAAGCTATTCTTGCTCATCCAAAAAAGTTTTATTCAAATATTATTGATTATATTCTTGCTAATCAACAATCAGATCAATTGACAGGTAGAACACTTGAATATACTTGGCATATGATTTTTGGTCAACCAGCATATATTAACTATAGAACATGTGATGTATTTGTTTGTGATTCAAGAGGAATTATTTCTGTTGCATTGGGTGATAAAAAAAACACTCAATAATTAACTTTTATTAGCATAATTGATGACAAATGTTTATTATAAGTTACTTGATCGAAGAACTATCAGGTGCTGACATAATAATACGATAAAATATCGATTCCGACATTTTTTCTTTTATCAAAAATAAAATTTTGTCAACCATAATAGTTTGTTGAGGAATACGACATTCGTAAGTGTTATGAAATCATATTGATCTTCGAACTTATTTCAAATAAAACTTTTTTGACATAAAAGTACTCTCATATTCTTATTAAACTCTTTATTGCGTCTTTAGTATTAAAATGACAGACAAGATTATAAGGAAAATAAACCTCATGTCATGAAAGAAAACAATATTATTGAATCAATATTGGTGTGAAAAATATGACACTCATGTAAAAACGACGTTATTATTTCTTTTTGTTCGCTTGGGTCATATAGCAACTCTTGAAAACGATTGTAAAAACGATTACATCAATTTTAGGATTTAAATATCTATGTTTATGTTTTTCGATTTCTATATTTTGTTGTCAAATAGAAATGAATTTCTCCTTGTATTGGTTTTTTTCTGTAGAACTTACATAAGTTTACGAAGAAAATTGTAAGGGTACAGTCATTAATCGCAAGACTCAGACTGTTCTAGAACACTCTGAAGTTTTCGTTGAAGTTTGAATACGTGGATCACGTTTGTAAATATTCTAACTAGTCCAGTTTTTCATTTTTACTCAGCTAAAAATTTATAATCAATATGTCAAGAACAATGGATAGTGATGCATTAATTTGCCATAATCATCATATGATCAACATTACAACCATGAATTGATCAAGTTAAAACTTTGGAAAGTCAGTCTTTGCGAGCTTATCAAGAAACATAATAGTGTGTTGAGATCTAATATAGATAGAATAGAAAGATATGACAAGTTTATCTGCGAGTAAAATCAATGATTAGAAATGCTTGAGAGAGTTTTCACTTACATATTTTGTATTAATATAATGAGTCTGAAGTACACATATGAGTTCAATATTTAAACATCAGAGGGACTGTGCTAACAGCCTTCTTTTTTTGTCATATATGATTGCTAATAAGGATTAAACTTTACCAAGGAAAAATTTATCTTTGATAATACGTATTAGATATTTGTTGTATGATTAAGCATTGTCCTTGAATTAATATTTTCTTTGTTGCATTCTTGAACTCTAAATTACTTACAGATTGAAGGCAATGTTATTATAATATCCTTGAAAATAAAAATCTACAAAATAACCAAACTGGAAAATTTCAATGATTGTTTATACATCCGAAATCAAATAGTATATATAACAATATGTGCATAGAATGATGATAGTTTATTTATGGATGATTACTTATGTATTCTATGAAAGAATTTAAGAGTCTATAAGCATTCATAATTGAATCTTCAATAGAAAAACAAGGAGTAATAAATGACGTCATAGGTAGGCTGGCATATTATATTGAAGTGTGGCAATAACTCGTAATACATCTTATTGTTATAGAAGAAAAACATGTTTTGAACCTTGTACAGGCGACTTATAATATGTTTTAGGTGTGGCAATTGCCTTCTGGTGGCCCATTCATGAATGGCGTGCAAAAGTTCGTTAGTTTCACTTTTTTTTTCTACTATGCATTTATAATAAAAAGAAATCCTACATATGAGAAATGCATTTTCCTATATTATAGAATGAGTAGAGCATACCCATCTGAAACATACCACTTTTTACACGAAGTTCGGCGCCAGCGGTGGGACCTAGTGTATCTTATAGAGAATTTTTTACTCATTAAAACGTAATGACAGAAAAATTGAGTACTGATGCGCGACTTGAAATAAAGGCAAAATACTTTTACGTTGATAGTGGTGCCATCTATCATATTTTTCTGATAAAAATGACTTTTTTAATGCTACCTTAAATGAACTATTCTTGCTTATATTCTATCTTATATCGGCATCAATCTAAAGCGTATAGTTAACCTCTTCATTCATGATAAGATCATCTGTACTATACCTGCCTGTGTTGAGAAAATCAATTTCGAACGAAGCCTATTTTTCTCTTACTTCATTGATTTTTTTTAATCATAGAGGGTAATATCACTGAAATAATGTGTATAAAGTTTGTTTTTCTCATTGAATAGATAGTTTAAGAGAGGAAAATTAATCAGATACTTGTGCTATATTGCAAAAGGGCATATCAAAGTTGTCTATTTTCATTAATGCAGATGTTAGGACAATAAACATAGTGAAGATATCACATGAACTTTAATATGTCATTTTGCAATATCATATAGAAGATCTGAATACTTTTTCTCTTTTAAAACTATCTATTTACTCCGAAAAAACTATTTCTATTCGTATTGTTTCAGAAATATTACTGTTCATGATTACTAAAAAATCAATTAAGTAAGAGAAAAATAGGCTTTGTTCGAAATTGATTTTCGCACCACAGGCAGGTATACCACAGATGATCTTGTCACGAAGGAAGCGGTTTACTATACGCTTTAGGTTGATGCCGATATAAGATAGAAACTAAGTAGGAATAGTTCATTTAAGGCATCATCAAAAAAGTCATTTTTATCAGAAAAATATGATAGATGGCACCACTATCAACGTAAAAGTATTTTGCCTTTATCTCAAGTTGCGCATCAGTACCCAATTTTTCAGTCTGTACGTTTTAATCAGAAAAAAATTCTCTACAAGATACACTAGGTCCCACCGCTGGCGCCGAACTTCGATGTAAATGTGGTATGTTTCAGATGGATTTGCTCAGTATATTATTGAGATTTAGTACTACTCTGATTTGTATGGATCGTCATAACTTTGTATATAGCCAAAAAATGACTACAATATCTTGCAAAATAAATATTCAATTCGATAGTCATCAATCTTGAGAGTTAAGGATTCTTTGTGTAAGTTTCCGGAAGGTGACATGAAGATAAGACCTATAGACACATCATTCACTAGAAATCCTCAGCTCTAGAGATATATGAGTATTGCTCTCATTATACTAAGTTCACTCGAAATCGTTCAACTAATGACAATTGATAATCTGAAATGCATCAAATGAATGTCGTCATAGGTATATAATTTTGATACTTGAATTATGGATATTTGACATTCTTCTTCACAACTATGGTCAAAAGAAAAAATATCGAAAAGTACTTTAGAAATTTAGTACAGATGATACAAAAGTCAATAGAAAGAACTTTGTACAAAATTCACGTACTTCAATTTTGTTTATTGTTGTCTGCAGAATGACTGTGATTATCCTTGATTTAAATTAATCGATCATTCTTTTTGCTGAACATTCATTAAGTGTACATTTTCAATATTTTTGATTGCTGTTTCATCTTGAAAATATACTTATTTGAAAAGAACAAAGATTTGTCTTTTTATGAATCAATTAAATAAAATAACTGACGATAATAGCTGACATGCATCTAGTAAAGATGAAGAACCTTCGGCCTACTCTAACTATACTAGTTACAGATGCAAAACGATAGAATAATCAGAAAATCAATAATAAATACAACATTTTTTTCTCTCATACACCACAAATATCATCTCAAATATTTAAAACAAAAATTTATTAACTTCTGTTATGCGTGTTGATAAACATTCACTCTAGTTATTAAAAAAGTTCTATTAATAGTGAGAAAGGAAATATTTACTATCGAAAAAGTATTTGCTAACTTTTTTGTACCCATGTATTATTCTAGATTCAAATGTTCAAATATAAGAACCATAAAGAAAACAAAACATTATTATAGAAATGTTATTTTATTTTGAATGTTCACATTTGAATGAGTTTTGTTATTATTATTAACCATTGAAGTAATAAGAATAAAAGAAATTTAGAATATTTTATTTAATATAAGTATCGAAGTCATAAAATTTTTCTTCATTTTGTATTGAAATTTCAAATTTTTCGAGTAAAACAAAAAAAAGACAAATAAATGATATTTTTATGTATAATCAAGATCTTAATAATGCCGCGATGCATAAACTTCGGATCTTTCATCATAAAATAGATCGATATAATTGAAAATTTTGCTATAGTATCACTGAAAACCTCATAAAACTAGTATTCGAATGTTAACATAATTCATTTTGCTACATTTGAAGTCTAAACAACACAAAAGGAAGAATTCAACTCGAAATGAAAATCATTATATATCAAAATATATATCACTTTCATTGTTATATGGAATTTTCTAGATAAAAACAATTGAACAAATCATCGTTTTTAAATCTAATAATTTTTTTCCAAGAGCAAAGGAATTTTATCTCGAATAATTTTTAAAATTAATTTATACATTAGATTCTTTGTTATTATTCATTTTGAAATAATCGAATGTGATGAATACTGTCGCTGCTAAAGATAATACTGGAATTAATCAAATATTCATGATTAAAACTCTACAAACCTTTTTAATATCTAGTAAATAATTCCATTACAAATTAGATTCTAATCTATGATTCATTTATTTGATTGAATATGAACACATTCATAAAGCAATTCCTTTTTTTTCTTATTTTTGTTTTAATTTATATTACAATGAATTAAATTCGTATAGGAATCAAATTTTCTCTTTGTTGTCTTTTGATGAAAAATAAAAATATAAGAAAATTTTCTTTTTTACCTGAAAAAAATGAAGAATAAATATAATGGTGGATTGTAATTTATTATTTAAATTCGAATATTAATTTGTTGATAGATTATCGAGGAAAATAGGATTAGAATTTTTTGCCAATAGTTCACATATATCAAGTCTAGATTTTCTTTTCTGATGAGTTCACTTCTGATACTGATCTTAATAATATTATTTTCTATGATTTTATGTGTAAGCATAATATATCTGATGAATTCTTGAGTCCAAAATTTTTGATTTTTTTTGATTTAATAGTTGAAAAAAACAAAACATTTTTTTGTTATGATTGTTCATGAAAATTTTTATTTTTCATAACAAAAAGTCGACAAACTTGCGATAATGTCTGAGTTTTAAATTA